GCACACACACGCACGCACACACACATATGACCAGATTTGATGACCATGATCGGCGTCATAAATTTATTTATCTCAGGTTTTTCCATTTGAAAGGATATTAAAAAGTTTTGGCAGGTGACGATCATGGCAACTGTGAGTTTTGTAACTTTTATTTTATTTAATGTTTATCAATTTGTATGTATGTGTGGGAATTTTTGCGTGTATGTGTGTTCGTGTGAATAATTGTGTGAATAATTGTGTGTGTGTGTGTGTGTGGTGTGTGTACGTGTGTACAGATGTATGTGTTATTGATGTCTTTTTGTAATTAAGGTTAGTTATGTACTTATACAATCATTTATTCATCGTTCATTCTTTAGCTGTTTGCTCATTCATTCGTTTGTTCGTTCTTTCGTTCATTCATAATTCATTCTTTCACTCGTTCATTCATTCATTCATTCATTCAATTATTCATTCATTCATACGCCTGTCACGAATTTCAATTTTTTTGTTATTAACCTAATAACGACAGTTACGAGATAAACAAAACAGACGTGACGATAACCATTATTATAAACTATAACCACGATAACGCATAAAAACTACTTATTTAATTTTAATTTATAATAATAATAATAATTAATAACAATAATATTAATAATAATAATAATTATTATTATTATTATTATTATTAATATATTTTCCTATGCCATTACAGATTGTACCCAATCAGAATTTCAACCCATTGCTGGCGGCCAACGATCTCATTGCCGCCTTCAAAGGAAGTATGACCCTGATGATGATGATGATGGTGATGATGATGATAGTGATGATAATGATGGTGATGATGATAGTGATGATGATGTTGACGACAATGATTATGATGATGATGGAGGTGATGATGATGATACAGGCATATTTGTATCATTTTATGTTATACTATTAAAATGATAATTATATTACGTTATATATATATATATATATATATATATATATATATACTAATCCCTCTTACTTTCTTTCTCTCTCTCTCTCTCTCTCTCTCTCTCTCTCTCTCTCTCTCTCTCTCTCTCTCTCTCTCTCTCTCTCTCTCTCTCTCTCTCTCTCTCTCTCGTCCCGATGTAGTTGGCACCAACGAAGCAAAAGTCATCCAGGTGACGACGTCTCACGACAATAAGCAAAGACAGGAAATTAAAAGTAGATTTCAGCTGATAACTGGAAAGGTATTTGTTCTTGTGTATTTCCAATAACTAATGAATAATAATATTTCAAATTATAAAATAAATTAAGTTTTTCTATCATAATATGGAAAAAAAAAATTACATAAAAATTATTTCTGACCGTGTACATATATCAAAGATACGATCCTTACTTTAGGATTTGAACAAAGAACTAAAATCCGAACTGAGTGGCAACTTCGGGAATGCTGTTTTATCTTTGTTCGTACCCAGTTATGAGTTCTTTGCTGACCTTTTGATGAAAACTATGAAGGTTACTAACTAATTAATCTTTGCATCGCTAGGTTGCGTCATCTTTTGAGTTAATCAGTTATTTATGGAAGGTTAAAATCTTTTCCACCATTGTCATCATCATCATTATTTTATCCAATCATCATCGTCGTCGTCATCATCATCAACACCATCATTTTATTCAATCATCATCATCGTCGTCGTCATCATCTTACTCAGTCAATCCAATCGTCATTGTCGTCATTTCAATTTTCAACCAAGGGACCGAAGACAGACGAAAGTATGATGGCAGAACTTCTATGTACACACGACAACAAGCACCTAGCTCTTATCAAAGACGCATATAATAGACGTCTGAGCATTTTTGTTTTTCTTCCATTTATTATAATTATTTCTATTTTTATTAATCTATTATTATCATTTTTTTAAAATTTATATTATGGTTAATGTGCTTTCATAAGCCAATCAGAATTTTGCAAGCAATCTACCAACATTCATTAACAGCCAGTCAAAACGTCACACACACGCGCACACACACGCACACATACACACAAATATCGAAAAAATCCAACATTCTCTCCGAGCTTACAGCGAGCAACATCACACATCTTGTAAACTTCGCCTTTGATTGATTATATTGGGATTTACATAAATTAAGTCGAATCCTTTATAGCCATAAAATCTGCAAATAATTACATAAATAATATTTATTTTTAAAATTATTGAAAACTTTAAAAATATGAAAGTGGCCGGGAGAAGTTTGGAAGAGGCAGTGGCCACAGAAACAACAGGAGAGTTGAAACGTCTGTGGTCCTGCCAGGTCAGAGGGGCAAGAGATGAAAGTTCAGAGGTCAGCGTTGAATTGGCACATCAAGACGCCAGGGATCTTTTCAAAGTTTGTTTGCCGATTGGTTGAACGATTGATTGTTAAGTTGATTGATTGGTTGGTTGATTGAATGAATGAATGAAGTAATAAAGTTTAGTTGTTATATTCTGAGATGCATTCCTTTTCCAATCGAAACTTCGAAATATATTCCTACCTAAGACTATTTTTGCAAAGGTTATCAAACAAAAAACCATCCACACACTCAGAAAATTGATGGGAGGTTCAATTGTGAGAGCGGCCTATTCATCGATCTGTTGTGTGGTAGGAACTTTGGCCAGTTGCGAGAAACTTTCAACCAGTACCAAAGGATCACCAGCCATTCATTTGAGGAAGTCATCAACAATGAAACTAAGGGGCAGTTGAAGAAAGGACTGCTGGCTGTCGGTCGGTTGGCCGTTGGTTGCCATGTGTTCGTTGTTTGTTCGTTCGTTCGTTCGTTTGTGTTGTTCGTTCGTTTGTTATGTTTATATGATTTTATGTTTCTTTGCTTTATTTCTTCACCTGGTAAGATGAATTTGACGCAAATATTTTTGTTTTATTTTTTCATTATATCATAAAATTCAATCATTTTTCATCCATTAATCATTTAATAGGTTAAATAACTTAAAACCATCCAATCAATACACATCCAATCGACCAACCGACCAACCAACTAACCAATCTCTCAATCAACCAACCAATCAACCGACCAACCAATCAACTAACCAACCAACCAATCAATCAACCAATCAATCAACCAATCAACCAACCAATCAAAGTGAGTTACATCAAGAATCCTCATGTTTTCTTCGCCGACTTACTTTATGACAGTTTCAAGGGACTCGGAACGAAAAACGATGACCTAACCAGAATCTTGGTAACTAGGGCCGAGGTTTGTGATCTGTTTTCTGATTGATTGAATGAATGAATGAATGAATGAATGATTGAATGAATGAATGAATGAATGAATGAATGAATGAATGAATGAATGAATGAATGAATGAATGAATGAATGAATGAATAAATTAATTAATTGATGAATGAGTGGTGAACGAATGAATGAATGAAATGATCAATTTAGTGTCGGTTTATTTTGAGTGTAAGGTTAAATAATTCATAATTATTTACTGTCTAATGAAAACAGTTGATAATTTAGGCGTCACTAAGCAATAGTGAGTCTGCGTGTATGTATGTGTGCGTGCGTACGTGTGCGTGCGTGCGTGCGTGTGGGTTTTCAATTGTTTATATTATAAGTTTTGAAAAACTGGATGTGGTTATAAACTTAAATGCAATAATACTCTCGAAACGTATTTCTTCTCGTATAAATTTACAGATTGATTTGTTGCACATAGCGAACGCCTATCGACAGAAATATTCCAAACCGCTTGCTGAAGCCATCAAATCAGAATGCAGTGGGGATTTTAGAGCTCTTCTATTGGCAATGATTTGAAAATATTTGATTTGATTGGTCGATAGAAACGTCCAAATTTACTAATTCAATTTTTTATAAAATAAACTTCAAAACAAAGCTATGAATAAATAATCATTCAAACCAATAAGTTATAGAATAAAATAATTATATAATCAACAAGAGAGTCTATAAAAGCTAATAATAATGAAATACTTTTGTAACGATTATTTTATTTAAGCTTTAACCAATCAAATGACCAATAAAAAATAATTCTCTGCGTTTCCTCGCTTTCATTGTTCCAAATAACGCCTAAGCATGCCTCCATCGTACAAGCCACTGCGGTCGAAAATTATAAAATTTTTTGGGCTTTCCGAGTAAGCGTCATCAGTCAGGCAGTCTGGAAGGGTGGCATTACTTTTATCGCCTACCTCATCTGCGATTGGAAACAATTCTCGGTTTAGTTTTTGTTGTTGAAGTTGCTGCTGCTGCTGCTGCTGATTAGGATGAGTGTGAAGATGTTGATGATGACCGTGATGTTGTTGCTTTTGCTGTCGTTTCAGACTTTCGCTTCTTCTTCTGCATGAGCCGTTCCTATATTTTGGATCGCATCTATTTTCTTCAGTGTTCTTGTCGGCGATTGTTTTTTCATGTTGGCATTTGTTGCTGTTGCTGATGATGATGTGGTTGTTGATGATGTCGTAAATGTTGTCAACGTTGTTGCTTCCATTATTATTGTTGCTGTTATTGTTGTTGTTGTTGCTGTTGTTTTGGTTTTTAGGAGTTAAGATTTGGACGCGAGGACTGGCGATATCTTGCCTCTTGGATGAATCATCTTTTCTTTCAATTTTTTTGTGTTTGTCATCATATTTGTGCACGTCATCATCAACGTCATCTTCATCGTCATCATCATCATTTTTACTTTCATCAGTTGCACTTACTTTCTCGCAATTATTGTTATTGTTAGAATTGTCGTTGTTGTTGCTGCTGCAGTTGTTGTTTTTATTATTTTTAAGAAGGTTGTTGTTGTTGTTGTTGTTGTTCAAGTTGGTGTTCTTCCTAGAGTGCGACTGAAATGTTTGATCCTTCTTGCCATTTTCCACATTCCGTCCGGAGTCCTCATCCAAAATTTTGTCAAACAGATCGTCAACAGCTCTCTTCAGTTTTTTGATGGTCGCTTTGTTCCACTGCAAGCTGTCTGGACTACTCAGGTCAGGTTTAAGCTTATCCCGATTGGGTTGTTGGGATGGTTTCGCCTCTTCCGCGTTTACCTCGCTCAGTTTTCTGTAGCGTACGCACGGTTTTGGGTCTTCGTCGGCGAGCAGATGAAGTAATTGCTGCTCTTGGTCGCTGTGTTTTTTACTACTTCCTTTAAAGAAGTGGTGGCTCTTTGAGTGAGTGCGTTCGTGTTTTTTTGACTTAGTTCCATTTTTCTTCTTCATTTCTTTTCCTTTAAGAGATCTACTCGACGAGCTGTCGTTCGATGACGTGTTGGAAGTCTCGTCAGATGCTGCCGAAGATGTTGATGATGAAGAAGAGGATGATGACGATGATTTGCTCTCAATTGTGTCGATGCACAGAGTTGCTTTAAATTCATTCAACAAATCATTCTTCACTTCGGCTTTCTTATCTTCATATTTGTCAAAAATTTGTTGAAAGATTTTCATCAACTTTTTGTTTTTTTCATTTTCATCGTTAACTTTTTTCCCATCAGTGGCGTTTGAATTTTTATCTGTCGGCGTCTCCGTTAAGTTTTGCTTGGTCGTTTTGCGATGTTTGTCATGTTTGAGTGGCTGTTGCTGGAGTTGCTGCTGCAGATGATTCAACATGTCTTGAGTCATCGGTGGCACAACTTGGTGATGTTGCTGGCTCATTGTCTGATTGCCCTGGTAAAAATTTTCAAAATGTTGCTGCTGTGTTGCAGCGTGTTCAGACTGCTGTTTCGCTGCAGGACGAAAATGTGTCGCATAGAGTTGCTGAATTTTTGTCGCATGACATCCAGTCGAGGAATGGCCACAATTATTTACCGTATTGCCTTTGTATGCCGGCCTGCCAGGTGCTGCCAACTGACCGCCGAAATTCTTCTTCTCCTCTTGCTTATCTACAGGTTTCCATGCGTTTTTGCTGTGGTTGTACAGCTGAGCTTCTTTTTTTGGATGGCAATTGGGTTGGTGCGAACGTTGAAATTTGTGGCTTTGTAGACTTTGATGACCCAGGTTGTTGTTGTTGTATTCATTACACTCGTTGTAATCCACTGTTTTTCTGCTTACTGGATCGAATAATTTATTTGAACGTTTGGTTCCGTAAAAATCCAACTGAGTTGTTGGCTGAATATAAAATATCGTTTAATTCATCAAATATTCTTAAAATTTCTCAATTTAAACTTGTATTGGCAATTAAGTTATCAATATATGTGAGTTTCATTACCAAACAAAAACGCAAATGATTAGTAAAGATAACCTACTGGAGCATTTAGATTAGACTGCACAGGTATACCGGGATACATCTTTTGTTCAGACTCCAGATGAGGTCTAATCATTTGACCAGACATGAAAGGACTTTGATTCTTTTCCACGTTGAAACTTGGCTGTCTGTGGTTATTGTTTTTGTTGATCCTTGAATTGTATGAGGCATTACTCAACATATTCTCAGATCTGACTTTTATATGTTCGGTCGAATTTAGAGGCATTTTTTCCAAAGGCTTAAAAACGAGAGTTTTTTTACGTTTAGAAACCATCTGCATAGGTATATTAAAATTATTGGACATATTCAATTCAATTCAATCTGACTAGTTAATAGTTTCTCATCGCATATTTATTCATTCATTTCTAAACGAATTTCTATACAACGATTTACGTCATGAATAATTAAAAATTTCTAGATTTTTATTGGCCTTTTGTTGAAGATATTTGAGAATAAAGAAGAAAAAATCAAACTTCCGATGTAATTTTCCAAACATCTTTCATACATTGTATTGTATACGGCATACTTTCTCTTCATATACATTACTTTTCGTTAAGCTTTTTCGTTGCTCGTGTAATCTATCCAGCTTACCTCTTGTTCATTAGTTTACGTTTCAAAAGTTAATTTAAGTTAACAAATTGGGACAGTTGACTTCAATTCATTTGATATATAATTAATTTCAATTCATTTGAAAGTTAAAAATTTATGTTTAAGAAGTAGATTTCTCTTTAAAATGTTAAATAAGTTTCGTAGTATTTGTCGTTAACTTTCACATCTTAATCGTGCAACCAACCAAAATGACTACTAAGAAAAGTGAGGTCGTCGTCGTCGTCGAGGATTATGATTACGAGTCCTTGCAAACAAATAACGTTGGGGCTCACATGCTCGCCGGAGCTGCTGCCGGAATACTGGAACACTGCGTTATGTACCCCATCGACAGTGTCAAGGTCGTTTAGAATGAATACATTACAATTGAATAAATAAATAAATAAATTGAACGACATAAAATAAAAAGTTTATTTGTTATTTGTCCTGACAACAGACCAGAATGCAAATATTAACACCAGATCCCAGGGCAAGATACAAAGGTATGCTGGATGCATTCCGAATAATATCGAAAGATGAAAGTTTCTGGGCAACGATGCGGGGCATAGATGTGACGGCGTACGGTTCAGGGCCAGCTCATGCTGTGTACTTTGCTTGTTACGAATACATCAAACATTATCTGCGGAGGAAAGATGAGAGCAATCACCTAGCACATGGTGAGCACTTTAAATTAAATCTATACATTTTATTACTGATATTTTATTTTAGACATTTAAATATTCTTTTTTCAAAATTTTCTTGTATTTCCTTGCTAGCCATTGCTGGGGTTGGAGCCACAATAGCCCATGATTTGGTGTACAACCCATTTGAAGTGATAAAGCAACGCATGCAAGTTTTTGGCAGTCCTTACAAAAACTGGTGGACCTGCGCAAACACAGTTTTCAAAACAGAAGGTTGGGGAGCCTTCTACAGAAGTTTTGGGACTCAGCTGCTGATGAATGCACCTTATCAGAGTCTACATTTCGTCGTCTACGAGTTTGCTCAGGATAAATTGAACCAGGATAGAGAGTACAAACCTCTGTCTCATGTGATATCAGGTGGGTCGGCTGGGGCTGTCGCTGCTGCTGCAACCACTCCATTTGACGTCATGAAGACACTGCTGAACACACACAAGCAACAACTCTATATGAGTGAAATCAACAACAACAACATCAATAGCGTCAACAACAACACTGCGAACTATCAGAACATTAATTATACTAGATGCAATGATTCAAAAAATGAAAAAGGTTTGCATGCAAATTCAAGTAAGCCCGGTCCAAACAACAATATTAATATTGTTCCTTCATCTGTACAGACACCCAACAACCCCAAACGAATAAAAGGGATCATAGGTGCAGCCAGAGAGGTCTACCAACTAGGAGGTTTTAGGGGTTTTTTTGCTGGAACCGTTCCACGAGTTTTCTATCAGATTCCTTCCACTGCAATTGCATGGAGTACTTATGAATTTTTTAAATTTATCATTGTTAGTCATGATACGGACCCGTGAATGATTTATTAGGCTTGAATTCATTTTAAAGTTTAATTTTGTTGCTAAGTTATATTTAAATTATAGTATACAAATTTTGTGATTATTGTTTCCATTAATCATGCTTACGTTGTTACAATCTTGTTTGGTCTTTGAATTTTATTCTTTCAACATACTAATTGAGGAAATGTACATTTTGACTTGTTTTATTCCTTTTAGGATCATGCACTAAGATAATAATTGTTGTAACTGAGCGGTCTTTAGTAAGCTTTTTATTTCATTGTCATTTCTGAACGATCGTCATCTATTTTAACTGTTTTTATTACCACTAGTTACATTACATTCATATGATTTGGACATGAAACAGTTTTATGTATATATTTATATATTGAAAATTTAACAAAAAATACTGGTGATTTTTGTGGAATATTTACTAATGTAATATGGTGTAAAATTTACAATTCAAGTGTTTCAAAAACTGCGAACAGAAATTATAAAAACTTGTTTTTCTCAAACCCGCATTACTTTGCTTTCTTTCCTTTTCAAACGACGTCAATTAATCCAGTGCCTTCTCCTATCTGGGCACCGACTTATTAGACCTGGTGTCAGATGCGGCCACAGCAGTCCGTCTACGTGCCGTATCTCCATCCATATTCCTCATCATATCTGATTTGAAGACCTTTATGTGCTCCTCCACGAATCTACTGACATCGCTTTTTACTCTACCATGTTCGAATAGTTTGTGGTCTAGTAGTGGCTGTTCTTTTTTCATCTGACGTGTGTATATTTTTTGTATTGGTTTGTGTGTGTGTGTGTGTGAGAGAGAGAGAGAGAGAGAGAGTGTACAGTGCGTATGCATGTGTGTTCGTATGTGTGGTGTATCTCTTTTTAGAGCTTTTATATAACAGTGTGTCAGTTTCAAAGGGATTGTTGTTAATCTGAGAGAAATTTGTGATTTGATACTTGATTGATTGGGGTAGTCTTTCAATTCGAATGTAAAAAGTACTTTTTATTAAATTTCGTTTTATAAAATTTCATGAAATTGACGCAGTAAGTTTGTTTCATTGATCTTTTCCATGATTCCAAGTTTGAAGGTATAAAAAGTTTTGCTCATCGATGAAATAATTGAATGAATGATTGAATGAATGAATGATTGATTGAATGAATGAATGAATGAAAGAATGAATGAATGAATGACAGATTGATATCTGATACCAACCAGTGATTCGGCAAACCATCCATACTCATCCGATGATGTTTCAGGCATGTTTGGATCTTTGGTTCGTCGTGCATTTTGTAATGTTCTCGTCACGGTAATGTCTATGTTTGATATATAATTTAATATATATAAATTTTATTTGATTTTCTATTTAATGAACATAATATCGTGTAATATTGAAGAGTAAAACTGAGCGATTTTTGTTTGATCAAGTGGATAATTGCTCAAAAAAGCTGCTTGAAAATCCGAATTTTATTTTAAATTTTTATTTCTTAACATATGTAATCTACGTTTTAAACATCATGTACACCTACTTTGTAACGTTTCTTCATCTAATTCAATTGGCTCCTCTTTAAATGACGTAATTTTATCTGTTATCAGATTGCCTTGAAAGATAGAAATGATACAAAAATGATATTTAATTATCTGATAACTGTCAAATTATCATTTAATAGTGCATATGCTCATGCCCAACCGTATTTGATTGAACTTGTAGAGAAGTTGGAGTACGGTTGGAAACATTTCATCTCTTTTCCAATCGTTTCCTTCCTTATTTTATCCAAATTGACAGCATTCAAGTTGTTTCTCGATATCTGTCGACGTATTCCGTGAGATTTCGAATATGACTGTGACATTATTCGAAAGGGAATGAAGCTCAATTCAGTGAAAATTTACTCAGTAGATGTTTTCAAACGAATGTTATTATAAGATGAAGATGATGAACATGCAGTTCCCTATTCCATAGCAACTGTTTTACCTGCTGATGTTTGATTTAGATGGAAGCACATTAAAATCTACAAAACTATGCTATTCTGTTGTTAATTTTATACCAGACATTAAAACTAAATGCACTAAGGAGAGAATTTGCATAAAATTACTAAAAAATTCCTTAAATTCAATGGTATTTCGTTTTGCAATTATTTATAAAGCAGACCTAAGCTTTCTATAACTTAGAAACCTTTGTGTTTGTGGATGATTTAAAGGGAAGTTTCACGTACGTTGTTGTGTTTGGCTTTTTTTTTCAACATAGTTGCAGCAAAAATATTAAAAAAAATTAATTAAAATTATTTTTGTAATTTTTATCAAATTATTTTATTTTTTAATTTGTCAGATTTCATTTTTTTAAATTCATGAATTGGTAAAATTTGTTTTTCAATTAATTTTTTAATTATTCTTTTTAATTATAATATATTAAAATTAAATTAAATAATAATTAATAATTATATTATTTTACACAAATTAAATTGAATTAAAATATTAAATGCTAATTTTATTTCTGACTGATTTTTCAAAAAATGAGAATGCACTAAAATCACATTTTTACTAATATAAATAAATACATTATAATAATTATTAATGATACTAATTTTATTTTAACAGGAAAAAAGAAGACAAATTATTATAATTATATATTAATAAGAAGAAATAATAATGAACATAAAATTCAAATTGTTCCCTGCCGTACTTAGCTTTCTTGTATTCTACTATGCCTGTTGTTAGTAAAGTTACTAATTAATTAATTAAAAATGGTAATAACAAAATTAGTAATTAAATTTTAAAATTAATTAATTCATCTATTTATTAAAACATAATAATGATATTAATGTAGATAGTTAGATAGAATATAATTATACTTGAATGATCAAATATAGATAGATGTAATAAACTAATAATGAACATATTTTTTTATTTCAAAATTTTCTATTAAAGTTAATTCAATTTTATATCATATTTTTAAAATTATGTAAATAATCTTTACAAAGTTACATTACATCAAAGATTGAATATTGGATTTATCAAGAAATCTAGACATTATAAGATGTTTAAGTCATTTTATGAAATTTATAATACTGTAAAAGTGTAAAGGTAATAGTTTAGTATAGAGGTCATATTAGTTTGTTGTCTTTTGTGAAGGTCATAGTTATTAGTTGATAAATTTTATTATTTTTTATTGGTAATTTCATTTTTAATTCAGTTATTTCAATAAAACATCACACAATACAAAGCATCATCAATCAATCAGTAGGATTGTCAAGAAAAGGAGAAAGTGTTTTATTCTACATAGTAGGTGAAAGTAAGAACTTCTAGCAACACTATGATTTGAGGGGAAAGAGACATGCTAGAATCAAAGATAAGGCCTAGATTACGAAACTTATGAGAAACATCAAGAGTTTTAGAATCAGGTGAGATAATAGAAGGAATAGTAAAAGAGTGTTTAGATTTATTAAAACAAATTAATTCAAATTTGGAAGGATTAAGTTTAAAACACATAGAGTCAGACCAAGCGATAATTGAAGAAAGACATAGAGATTGATTCAACACTATTGAGATTAGATAGAGATAAAATACAAAACATTGGATAGTATAAAACATCATACAATACAAAACATCATATAATACAGAACACCATCCAAGTAACTAAGTTGAAAACTCATTCTATCTTACCTGGCTGAGCTAATCATTCAACTAAAATCATTGGTGCATGCATATCCTCAAACTAACAACTACCAAACGTAAACAATAAATAAACAATTATAGAAATAAGAATTAACACTCACATATACACTCACGCATACACACACATACATTTTTTTGCGTAATTGATATATTTGCTATATATAAGTGAGTGATATGTATTTGCTATACCTTTATAAACAAATAACCACACACACACACGCACACAGGTACACACTGATTTGTACATACAAACATATGCACTTACACACTCATTAATACACACACACACACACACTTCACATACACGCACACACACACACAAACACACAGAAGCATTCTTACAAAGGTGCACATTTTTTGTTTTTTTAAATCTAAATATTCTAGATAAATTTTGGTTGGTGTGGGATGTAAAAAATTAGTTTATTAAATTATTCGTTCGTTCGTTCATTCGTTTGTTCATTCATTCATTCGTTCATTCATTCATATTTTACTTTTTATTTCGTCACAATTAATTGACTTTCAATTGTTTAACATTCTAATTTTCAGCCAATTGAATTTATTTATTATATATTTTTTTATTCTTGAAGATGTCTGGTCAGAAAATAAATGGCTACAAGATGATGATAATAAAGGACTTCCAAAGTATAATCATTATTATTATTAATATTACCATTACTAATTATTATTACAACTAATTTGCATAAGAACAATAAGCTAATCTGCATAGCTAATGACATACAGTTGCTATGACTGTTGTCATTAATATTAATTAAATTAGTTTTCTTTAATAACTAATTTTAAATTAATTGTTATTTACGAAATTCTTTTCACGTGAATTCTTAAGTGTTAAATCTGGTTATCACCATCACTTTTGAGATAATATATAACACAATGAAAATGGCTAATTATATTTTACTAATTAGACAAATCGGCTTATTATTATGCAAATTAGTTATGTCAATTGGTTAGTTGATTAGTCAGTTAGCTCATTAGCATAATTTATTCCAACAGGACAGACTCTCCATTGAGAGTTTTGAGTGGAAAATCTAACAAGGAACTGAGGAATGAAGTCGATAGACTGATCACAAAACTGTCTGAATTAGAAAAAAAGTAAGTTATTATTATTATTGTTCTTATTATTACTGTTGTTGTTTCATCATTGATATCATCTTTACAGTTGTCAGGTGGCCGCAAAAATAGTGCCGGTTCTTTAGAACCTAATTTTTCGACCCGAAGTTTTTAATTAAATTTTATTAGATGCATTGATAATTAGATATCATTATAAAGGTCATTCATTCTTCTATCCAATTACAAAACATGAATGTGCTGGGTTACGAGATTCTGAATCGCCCACCATACTTTACTTACCAGACCTCTCACTAACAAATTACCATTTTTTCAACTACCCCCACAACTTTTTATGGGAACGGTGCTTCAATGCTAAAGACGCCACAAAAACGCCAGTGCTTCAAAGCTAAAGACGCCACAAAAACGCCACTGCTTTAAATTTAAAGAAGCCACAAAAACGCCGGTGCTTCAAAACTGAAGACGTCACAAAGACGCCCTCTTACAGCTCGTCGCTTCCAGAACCGCAAATACTTATGCAGTCAATGAATTTAAATCTCGTCGCCAGGGCATATGCGGATTGATTGCAATAGTTTTTATAAGCAAAGTTTTGTTTTTGGAATTGTACTATATGAAACTGGCATTATTTTTGCGCTACTCTAATATAATCGTTAAATGTGATCGCGATAAAGTTGTCGATATTTCTATTGCCATTTTTATTACTATCGGCACGCGTGTGTGTGTGATTGTCTGTGTATGTGTATGTGTCTGTGTATGTTTCTGTGTATGTATGTGTGAATGGTTATACTCGCTGAAGTAATCTTTTGTCTTTTTGATGTGGCTATTTTTATATTTTTGTTTCGCTTTTTTGTTGGGGTTTTTTCAATTTCCGTTTGGCCGGATCAATTCATCATCATTTGGTTATCTCGCCACTCTACTGTTGGGAGCTTTTTATTGTATTTTGTTGTTGTTTGTGTTGTCGTTGCTGTTAACTATGCTGTTGTTGTTGTTGCTTGTGTATGTTGTTGTTATTTGCTGTTACTTGTTACTTATTCTATTTTAGCTTCTGGCGGCCTTTACTCATAGTTTTGTTGTTGTTGTTGTTGTTGATGTTGATAATGTTATTGTTGTTGTCGTTGTATTATATACCTTACTTGTATTGTTATTTATGTTAATAGTGTTATTTTCATTGTTATCTTTGTTATTTATAATACAATATTATTATTTTTGTTGTTAATAATTATGTTATTTTATTATTGTTGTTTTTTTTTAGCGGTGGTAGGAAGACATACCCTGAGGTCAACTTTCTAAATTACAAGGATAGAAAGAAGATTCTAGTTCGGATTTTTATTTTATTCCATCAAACCATTAAATAGTCCATTCGTTCGTTCGTTCATTAATTCAGTCACTCACTCATTCATTCATTCATTCATTCATTCATCCATCCATCCATCCGTTCATTCAATTCATCCACCTATCAATTCCTTGATGTAGGTGACGGGAGGAGCGGGATTTGTGGGATCGCACCTGGTGGATAAGTTGATGTTGCAGGGACACGAGATTACTGTCATGGATAACTTTTTTACCGGTTCGTGTCGATGATGTCTTCTTGCTATGTTGGGTTGGTCGTACGGGGGGGGGGTAGAAAGGGTGTTTCGAGGTCGGTATTGGGCCCGTCCTTACCCTTTTTGCGTTTTTGTTGTGTTTTAGGATGATAATGATGTTGTTGTTGTTGTTGTAGCTATTGTTGTGGCTGTTGTTGTCGTCTTCGTTGTGGTTGTTGTAGTTGTTGTTGTTGTAGCTATTGTTGTGACTGTTGTTGTTGCTTATATCTATGTTGTTATTTATAACTATGTTTTTGTTATGGCAACAGTGTTGAAGTAATAATATTTTTGTTGCATGCAACTATGATGAGAAAAAAATGATAAAATAAAGTAAAATATTATTAATAGAAATCTGAAACTAATCAGTAAATTGATTGATAAAATGTGCTGCCATTGATCAAATGCATCAATATAGAACATTTGTTTGTTTGGTTTTATATACGCACACACACACACACACAGACAGACAGACACACACACACACACACACACACACACACACACACACACACACAGATAGAACACAGACAGACACACAGAGAACACAGACACACACACATGCACACAGACACACACACATGCACACAGACACACATTCAATTTTTATTTAAATTTATTATAGTTACCTTATAATTACTCAACTAAGTTGCTAATAGTTACCGATAATTATAAATAATAATTTGGACCTGGTTACATGATATATATATTTAAAATTATAGATAAGTTATAATAATTTGTAAGAATAATTATTTTTATTATTAAATTTTACTGAATATTTCTTTTTAAAGGTCGAAAGAGAAATGTGGAGCACTGGATAGGACATGAGAATTTTGAACTGTTGAATCACGATGTTGTTGAACCTTTGTATATTGAAGGTTTTTGTTGTTTGTTTGTATGTGTGTTTGTATGTTTGTTTGTATGTTTGTTTGTATGTTTGTTTGTGTTGAACCTCTGTGTGTTGAAAGTTTGTGGTCATTTATGTTATTGTTTATGTCATCACCATAATCTTCACCATTACCACTACTACCACCAGCCAGCATCATAATCATTACCACCATCATAATCATCACCTCCACCATCACCATCTTTTCCGATGACAGTTGATGAGATTTACCACCTGGCCTCTCCAGCCTCTCCTCCCCACTACATGTTCAACCCCATCAAAACCATCAAGACAAACACAATTGGAACCATTAACATGCTTGGTTGGTTGGTTGGCTGTTGGATGGTTGGTTGGCTGACTGGTTGGTTGGTTGTTTGGTTGGTTAGTTGGCTGGCTGGTTGGTTGTGTACGTACGTATGTGTACATCTACTTGGAGTGGTTCATATAAAGTATACAAATGAGATTATTTTTCAAAATGATTAGAAAGAAAGAGAAAGTCTTGGAGTGTATAGTCGGTTGATAGTTAGAATCTTAGCTAAGACAATGTAATTGCTTGTACTATCAATAGATTTTTAATAGATTTGCCAGTTCATGTTTGGAGTTCATTTGTGGTTTTAACAACGCTTCAATTTACCTTACAACCTATGAAATTCAGGATTGGCCAAGCGTGTAAAAGCCAAAATCTTATTTGCCTCTACGTCTGAAGTGTATGGCGACCCCGAGAAACACCCACAGGATGAAGGTTATTGGGGGCACGTTAACCCCATAGGGCCGAGGGCATGCTATGATGAGGCCAAGAGGGTTGCTGAGACTATGTGCTATGCATATCAGAAGCAGGTTGGTTGGTTGGCTGGTTGGTTGACTGGTTGGTTGGTTTCTCTATTGCCTATTGCTTCTAGCCTTTGTTTCTTTCTCTCTTTCTTTTTCTCTCTCTCTATCTCTCTCTCTCTCTCTCTTCAATTTCGTTCTCTGTTTTCTATTTTCAATCTCTCAATCTCTGTATTCTTTCTCACTCTCTCTTTCTCTCTATTTCAATATTTCTTGATCTATCTTTTCTAACCACTTGTAAAATTTTTGACAAGATAAAATCATCATCTTTGAACTGAAATGTAATGACGTTTCACTGTTTACTGACTATATTAAACATTATTAAACAGCGTTAGTGAATGAATGAATGAATGAAAGAAAGAAAAAAAAATATATATATATATATTTATTATTTATCGTTATTTTTCGAAACCATTAGTATGATATAAATGATAAAATGAACAATTTATGCTTAATTGATCAAGTTGATCAATATTTTAGCCACACATGTCTGTTTTTCGGTGTGTCCGTATGTTTGTGTGCTTGTTGTTTGTCGGAGTGTCTTTATATTTGTATGCTTGTATGTTTGTTTGTTTACTCATCTGTTTGTTCATTTCATACCTTTCCAACGAAAGCGGTTACTATGAATAGTATTAGCTAGCAGAAATACATTTCTTTAATTATCAAATTTACTAATTGCTACTTTAAAAACAGCTACCTGCTTCACTTAATTTCTAATTATGTTTTTAGAGTTGATACACACACACACGTACACACACACACATCCATAGGGGCACACACACACACAGACAAATATTTCTATCGCTGTCTACAATAATCTTTACAATGAATGAGGGAACAAATGACCATGACATTGAACGGATGAGCAAATGAATTAACCCGGCCTTCAGAGAAATTAGTGACCATGACTTTGAATAAATTAACAACACGACCTTCACCTCTAACAGGAGAATGTTGACGTCAGAGTGGCTCGCATCTTCAACACGTACGGACCGCGTATGCACATGAACGACGGAAGGGTCGTCAGTAACTTCATACTACAGGCTCTCCAAGGAATTCCAATGACTGTTCGTTTGTTTGCTTGTCTGTCTGAGTGTTTGTGTGCCTGTGTTTGTATGTTTTCTCTCTCTCTCTCTCTCTCTCTCTCTCTCTCTCTCTCTCTCTCACTTTTTCACTCACTCTCTCTCTCTCCACACCAAGGTGTATGGCAGCGGCGAACAGACGCGGTCCTTCCAGTATGTAACAGACCTCGTAGATGGTTTGGTGGCCCTGATGGCCAGCAACTACACCAAGCCTACTAACATTGGCAATCCAGACGAGCATAGGATCATCGAGTTTGCTACTATTATCAAGAATCTTCTGGGTAGGTTTGTGCTGCACACGCACACACGCAGCATACATAAACACACACACACACGGACACACACAGACACATACAAACAAATAGACAAACATACAATCGTACATGCGTTAGGTGGTTCGAGTGAAATAGTGAATAAGCCCCCAGTAGAAGATGATCCACAGAAGAGGAAACCAGACATTACGACTGCCAAAAAGCACATACACTGGCAACCAAAAGTTCGTTGATATCTTTTTTTTTTGCTGTTGCTGTAGTGTTGGTGTGTTTGTGTGCGTGATTTGATTCGATTTGATGTGGTGAAATAAAATGTTGAAAAAATGTTTAAAAAATGAAAAAGTAATTTTTGTCACTCGGAAATATGACTGGCTCTGTTGCAGGTTCCTTTGATGGTTGGGATCAACAAGACGATCGAGTACTTCCGGAGCGAGCTGAGGAGGAGCAAGCACAGTGAAAGAAACATCTGGAAACCAGAGTATCTCTGAAGATGATGAGGAGAATGAAGAGGAGGATGAAGAAGAGAATGATGATGATGAAGATGATGACGTTGATGATGATGATGATGATGATGATGATGATGATGATAATGACGAAAGAATCATCTGGAAACCGGAATATCTATGATAACGATGAGAAGGATGACGGTGATGATGATGACGGTGATGATGATGATGATAGTAGTGGAGATGATCAAGATGAATGCTAATATGAAAGAAGATGATGACGATAGTGGTGATCAAAATGACGATGTAATCTTTATTTCCACCATTATAAATGTGTGTGTGTGTGTGTGTGTGTGTGTGTGTGTGTGTGTGCGCGTGCGTGCGCGTATGAGTGAATTAATGTATATATATAAACAATTATGTGATGTTTTTTTCGTTGATTCTGTCTTTTTCAATGTTCTTCCTCTTCCAACCAACCCCGCCATCTTGTTGCAGCTTTTTTATTTCCGGGTTTTATCAGATTATCATTGCTTCTATTTCTTTAAGAGTTCATTCGACAAATCGATATGCCTTTATATAATTGTATATATACATATATATATATATATATATATATATTTATTTATTTATTTCTAGAGAGAGAGAAAAAAAAGAAAGAAAAAGAGAAAGAGAGAGAGAAAGAGAAAGAGAGAGTACGAAAAATTTGAAAAGTGTTATAATTATATTTGATGTATGTTTTATTTTAATGTTACACATAACTGTTACAGGCACTCGCCATGTTATTTTGCGGTGTTAGTATTGTTAGTGTTGGTGTTGTTGTTGCTGCTGTTGTTGTTATTGTTGTTGTTTGCAATTTATTATACATTCATTTTTCATTCATTTTTGTATTCGCGAATTCGAGTAAATTCTGAGGAACGATTTGTGATTGATTTCAGTTTGTAACATTTCATTCTTTCGATCTCTTGAATTCGACAGCTCAACCATCCATCCATCCATTCATCCATCTCTTCATCCACCCATCTCTACATTAATCTATTTCTTCATCTGATTCCCTACACTAGCATTCATCATTCCATATATGTCTATGCAATTATCTATTCAATCTTCTGTTCGCTCATTCATCTGTCCATTTCTATATTCAACTTTTTATCCATCCGTCTTTGTGTTCATTCATTCGTTCGTTCATTCATTCGTTTATTTATTCATTCATTTGTTCGTTCATTTATTCATTCATTCGTTCATTCATTGTTCATTCATCTACTAACTCATCTATCTATCTATTCATCTTTTCATAAACCCGTCTGTCTTCTATCTTTCTATATACATATCTATATCTTTTCCAATATATACAAATATGTTTTGGATTCATTCATTCGTTCATTCATTCATTCATTCATTCACTCATTCATTCATTCATTCATTCGTTTTTTCATATTTATCTCACAGTAAACTGCCCACCTAGCTTGATCAATGCTAAAAACTCGCCTTAATTTACGTACCGTTGTTTCACTCACTCATTCTTTCATTCATTCTTTCATTCATTCGTTCATTCATTCGTTCATTCATTCGTTCATTCATTCGTTCATTCATTCGTTCATTCATTCGTTCATTCATTCGTTCATATCTTCTATGTAACGCGTGCCACTTCCCTGATTATTTGTCGCCAGGAGTGAGCATTGTTATTCAATTCATACATTCGAATAAAATTATTATTAATAATATTATTATAATATAATATTAATTATAACATTCACTTATATTATAATATAATATTTGTTGAGGAGAGAGGAGGAAAGTGTACTGCAGAGGGCTGAAAGAGTTATGGTAAGGATGATGTGTGGGGTTAAAGTGAATGATAGGAGGAGTAGTACAGAGCTGATGTCAATGATGGGACTGAATGAGGACATTGTGACATTGATAAGGAGATCGAGATTGCGGTGGTATGGACATGTGTTGAGAAGGGATGAAAGGGTCGGGATTAGGCGAGCGTTGGAGTTCGAGGTTGAAGGAGTGGTAGGAAGGGGTCGTCCGCGATTGGGATGGAGAGAGCAGGTGGAGAAGGACAGGGTGAAAGCGGGGTTGCGTGATACTGAGGCGAGTGACAGATGTGGATGGCGTCGAGGGGTATTTCGGTTTCATCATAGGTAGCCAAACGGCAACCCCCGATCTCGGGGAAAATGTCGTCTAAACGTGTGTTGTTGTATTATAATATAATATTATAACAATATTATTATTACTGTTGTTGTTATTATTATTCTTATTGCTATTCATTTTTATTTCTGTTGTTTATGATAACTTCACTCTCTCTCTCTTTTTTTTTTCTCTCTCTCTCTCTCTTAATTTTTTTTTGATATTTCATTCATCGGATCAAATGAAGCTGAAATAATAAAAACTAAAACTATTAAAGGGTACACACACGCGCACACACACACACAAACAAACAACAAACACACATACAGACATGCACACATGTGCACACATATTTATGCGCACACACGCACGGATACAAACATACACTCACATGCAACGCATTCCCGCCAATTTAAAATTGTCCATTTTTGAATTCTCCATTTACAAACACACACATACATATACACACACACATACATACACACACATAACAAATTAATGCTTAGATACCAGCTATTCTTTACTAAAATCGTTGGCCAACATGTGGTGTATATATTTTATATATATATTTATTTATATATACGTATATATATATTTGGGTTAAATAGTATACACACGCGCACACATGTATGTATACAGGTGGAGTTATATACATACATTCTTTTAGACGAATAGATTAACACTGTTATATGAGTATTTTTATTGGTTTATTTGATGGTTTAACTATACATTACTTCAAATGTATGTATATATATATTTTTATTTATTTATACGCATATATATGTGTACATATATCTTATATATTGTATGTACCTAGATATATTGTTTGTATATGTATACAAAAAAATTTATATCATTGTTTTGGTTTGAGACAACGCCATGAATTTAACTACAAACATTTATTTTTGTTAGATTTTATTTTTTTTTGACGCTATATATAATCGTAATAATGATAATGAATCTTGGTATAATGTACCGTGTACCTTTGTTTTACAATAAATAAAAATACATATACAAAGAAATATATGTGGTATGAGTATGTGTGCGCACATGTAGAGGAGTGTTTGTGTGTATGTAAGAGTGTATGAACCCGTTTGGATGTACGTGAGTGTGTATGTATGTGAGTGTGTATGTATGTGTGATCAAACTAATACAATTTTTGTTGTTGAAATTAATGAATAAATCCCTTTACCTTATAATAATCGTAGCGTGAAATTCTTGAAATACTTGTTAACTGATGGAATATTTTATAATATATATATATACAATTGAAGCAAAGTTGAAAAAACGTTGAAATGATATTGGAAGAACATTTTTCTGACTGACTGATTTTATCTCGTATAGTGTAAGTTGTATTAATTCGTTATTCCTGTATTCGATCACCCATAATTCACATGTTCATTCATTCATGCATCCATTCGCTCAACTACTCATTCATTCATTCATTGACCTATTAAATCATTCATTCAACCATCTACTGTCCATTTATATATTCATTCAATAACACATTCATTCACCCATTCATTCATTCATTCATTCATTCATTCATTCATTCATTCATTCATTCATTCATTCATTCATTCACTCGGCATCAACAGACGACTCGACAACGACGGCATTCATCTGAAGATTGTTGCAGTTGCGACAGAAAGCACTACTGTTGTTGTCATTGTTGTTAGTGACTGGTGCTGCTGTTGTTGTTGTTGCTGCTGCTACTGTTGTTGCTGCTGCTTCTGTTGTTGTTGCTACTGCTGCAGCTGCTGACGTTGCATCATCACTCCTTGTTGCTGTTTCACTGTTATTGTTCGCCGCGTTGCTGTTATTTGACATTGCGTCATGGAACCCTCTACTTATCAAGAATGTCCTCGCGTCTTCCCTACCTAATCTCCATAAATTAGTGTAAATGTAATGAAAGTTAGTAAGGTACGTGAGGCATGAATCCAGCAAGAAATGCTATTAACAATAAATGATTGAAGAGGGTAGAAGAAGTCGTAGCAATAGTAGTAAATAAATAGTAAATAATAATTATGATTTGTATTGTTAGTAGTAGTAGTAGTAGTAGTAGTAGTAGTAGTAGTAGTAGTAGTAGTAGTAGTAGTGTAATTAATTTACTGATATAAGGATGTAAACCTTGTCTATAGTAGTTCTTAAGCATGTTGACAGATGGCGGAGAGAAAATATGAATGCCTCTCATTAAGTTGTCCAAGCAGAGCTGTTTGAGATAAGTTTGTGTGTGTTTGCTTGCTTGTTTGTTTCTTTGTATGTATGTATGTATGTTTCTATGTATGTGTGTGTGTATGTTTCTATGTATTTATGTATGTATGTATGTGTATGTTTGTATGTATTTATGTTTGCTTGTTTATTTTATCCTGTCCATCGATCATTAATTTGCTCATCCATTCAAGCACTACTGCATGTATTCATCCATCAATCCATTCATTCATCCAATCAATCTATTCATTCATCCAATCACTCATTCATTCATTCATTCATTCATTTATTCACTCATTCATTCGTCACGTCACACTCCCCCCACACACCTAACGACCTTGAAATTTTGATTAGCAAAGGTGACGTGGCTGCGGTCAATGGGGTACAAGCCACTGGCAGACAGCGTGAACGACGACGACGACGATGACGTCGCGAACGATGACGCAAACGGCGACGTTTTTGGTTGGCTGATGGAGGGGCAAATCTCGTGTTTGCCCTCAAATGGGGAGACGCAAATGGTCTCACCTTCGTAAAACAGGGGCATGTTGTTTGTCAGGCCACCATCAAAATACCTCTGAAAATTCAGGTTGGCTATGGTTGTGATGTCACGTTATTATTAGTATTTAGTAGTGGTAGTGGTAGTAGTAGTGGTAGTAATAGTAGTAATGGTAGTAGTAGTTGTAGCAGTGGTAGTAGTATTTTATCAAAACATTATTTTATTAATCACGATTTATAATTGATAAGAGTGAAAATAAATAATACTAATAATGATAAATAATAATAATAATAACAATATTTAAACAAATGAGATGGATGATGAATACAAATAAAACCAAAGAAGAATCAAACCTTGTTGCCGATTCTTATTGATTTCGAGTTAGTAATGTACGGCACACAGCTGCTAGCTAATAAAAACTAACAGTAATAACAATAATAATAATTAACAATCATAATTACCATAATTACAACTATAATAACAAATAACATAATTTCTAATTTCATTTATAAATAAAATTGTCCAAAAACCATTCACATTCTTGAGAAATTTATGATGGTTCTGATAAAGTTTCTTACTATGAATAAAGAAATGATAATATTAAAACCATTTTATCATGAATATAACACAATCATAATAATATAATCATTATTTTATTAGTATTTTCAACATCATAATAAACGAACGTAATAAAATAAAGTTACTTTGATGAGTTGATCCCTCGATGAGAACTCAGATATGATCTCGTTCTCTTTGCTCTCGGCATTTGTTACCGATATGAACAGCCTACCTGGGGCATTTATTTCTTACCATTTAATACCACAATTAAGAAAAAATATCTAGAATTATGATACAAATTAATAAAAAAAACCTTCAATTTTTTAAAAAATCATTTTTATTATTATAAAAAATATTGATATATATATATATACATATAAAGTTTATACGTATGTAAGTTATAGTATATATGCAATAACAAGCTCTATAATACTTCTACTACTATAGAAAGCAGCTACTAGTGCAACTACTACTAATAATAATAATTAAAATAACAATATTAACAATAATAATAATGATAACAGTAACCCTAACCTGAAGCCCTGATATGAGCATCGTGTGAAACTGTCCTCGAGAAATTTTGCAATGGGGTTCAACAACTCGACTCCTGGTGTCAATACCCCAAATGTTTTGCTTTTTATTTCTTCTGCTAGGTCTATACAAAACTGCCTGCATAACTTTAGAGAGTTTATAATAATTAAATAATTAGATAAACCTTTTTTGATAATAAGATATACATAATTAGTTATTGAATAATTAAATCAGAGTAGGATCATTTCAAATTAGACTTAACTAGCAGGTCGCATAACGTTAAAGAATGCAGAAGCGCGCGCGCTGAACTTTAACGATTTTTCCTGAAAGTGAATTTACATTGTTAAGTCACTTAACAAATAATGAAATTGTGAAATAGTCACACCGACCTCAATAGCGTCTTCATTAGGTCCGTGAATGGCCAACAAAGAAGCAATAAGAGCCCCAGCGGATGATCCCCCAAATCTCGAAATCATGTTCACAAATTTTTTGCCCTCTGATACCAAAGTCTTGGCTACACCCAAATGATATATCCCAAGGAAGCCGCAACCAGAAAATGACACATTCATCATCTTCGCTTTTTATTTTTTCAAGTTTTATATTTGGTTTTGTTTGCTGTGTTTTAATACCGTTGGTTGGATTTGTTTGCTACTGTTACCAGCTTTACAGTGTAACTGTAGTCGCAGTAAGGCTTACTTTGCTTACACGAGATTCTTAGCAAGGTTTAATAAATTTTATTTATAATATCGGTGTGAAACGGGATTTTAAAAAAATAATTGCTACGACTGACATTGTGATAAATGAAAAAAATAAGTAAATTAGTGTTATTTTTTAGCTTTTTCAAATTTACGAAAATAAATAAAAAAAACACTGGTAAGTTTCTAGTTATTATTTTGTTAAAAGCAAACTTAACTGTCAACCTTAAAGAATAAATTACGATGCGCAGAACATTAAAAATAAATGTACAAATCACTCCAGCGGTTTTTGAAGCAAGTCGATCTCACATATGAAATAATTTTTGTCCGTACACTTTTCATCAAACCATTGAAAGTCTTCATTCCGTCTGATAGCCATGCAATGATTAGTTAAAAGGTTATTTGGAGCTCCTGAACCCCATCTTAAATTAGGAATAGGCTTGGTCGACCTTCTGATTCTATTGTAAATCCAGAACCAACTTTCATATTTCGGTACGTAAATGCCTCCAGTCCAGTATTTTTGGTGGCTTTGAACGACTGGTTTATCACTCTCAAGCCCTCTTTGTTGGAATTTATGACGATTTTGTTCTTCTTTGCTTTCACTGTCAGCTCCTGCGACCGAATTGTTCTTCTTAATGAGTGTCTCTGTTTCTGAAATCCACAATTAATCGTTCATAACAGCTAAATCTTTAAGAATACGATTAAATTTACTGCAACGCGTTAAAAAATGCATCAAATACATCTACAAAATGACATTACTAACCATGAGCTCTGATGACATAATCCACAATATACGCCTCTTTCATTGACTCCAACGTCAGCATGTTGGCCCCAGCAGCCGAGCAGAACTTGTTGGATTCGAACCAGGTGCTCTTCCAAGCCGGCACCCTGTAGCAAGATGACCAGGTCCCACCGCCCACAAAGTTCTCCGGGCAGATGAAGGCATTCGAAGTTGTCGACCTCTTGATCCATGATTTCCGATTTTGGTCGTTTAGCTCAATTCTCTGTAAGAATTTTATTTATGACATTCACTCTTGCTAACTTTCATTCAATTGAAACCGTTTATTTATCACGCCATATTTTCAATAAAATTATGATTAACTCGTAACCATTTCTTATCAATGTTTAAACTTAAAAAATTAATCACAAACAAGAGAAGTGTTGTTTTTAAGTATTTCGACTGCAAATGCCACGTCTCTCAAATCAGCTTTGATCTGGCGCATATGCCTCAGCGAGCGTCTGCTCAGTGTAGACATCATGGCTATCAGCTTTCTCTTCATCTTCATCATCTTTTTGAATTGTTTGCTGTAGTCATGTGGATAATTTTGTTGTTGTTGGTGGTGATGTATTTTAGGATGTTGTTGTTTGTGGTTGCGTTTTGTCGGCTTGCGTTTTGTTGTTCTACGCTCTTTTGTACGATTCTTGTGGGATGTAGTATCTTGTTCGCTGGTTTTCTGCTGTTGTTGTTGGTGTTGATATGGCAAACTTGATTTCTGTCTTTGTCGTTTTCTGTGTTTTTTTGATGCTCTGATGGTAGTTTGGTTGAAAGTGATTGTCGTGGCTGCTGTTAAATTTGTTGTCCTTGTTGTTGCTGTAAGTGATGGTGTTGTTGTGGGTGCCGCAATTAAAATTTTAGAATTAGCGATAAAATTTGTTGAGGATGTTTTTGTCTCAGTTTTTATCGGTGGTGTTAATGTTTTGACTCCTGGGGTTCTCGTTGATCTCAATGTCTTTGTGATGGTCTTGGGCGTTTGCTTGTCGTTAGGATTGTTTGAATTCGTTTGATAATAATGCTTATAATATTGATAATAACTATTTGCGTGTTGTTTTTGTTGCTGCTGCTGCTGTGTGACGTGACGTTTGTAGATTATTGTTGATGTCGCGATAATAATTGAGGTCATTNTCATTCAAGCCGCTGTCGGAAATGTCGTTAATGTTTCTATGGCGGTCCTCAAGCCATTTATTCCTTGTACTTATGTAGAATTTGTTGACGGAGTTTTCGTTAATGTCGTCAATGTTATTCTGTTTGCTGTTGTTGATGTCATATTCGTTAATGTAATTTATGCGAGTTTTGCTGTTGTTGTAGTTGGTGTCGTAGTTATTGTTGTTAAAGTTGTTGTTGTTGTTGTTGTTTTTGCCATCTGAGTTGATGAATGATGACACTTCTGATGTTGAAGACATCAATACCAGTAACGAAAACACTAACACCGGTGTCATCTCTACTGTGCTGTTTTAAGAGTTTTATGTTTATTTAATTAAGTTGAAGATATAGACAATTTTTAACTTTTTCTTATGTTTTTTCAACACATTTTTTGACTCCTCTGTATGATGTGTCTATCAACTATGGTACAATCAGTGTACATTAAAAATGGTTGAAACATTGATTTTGCGTTAAAATCTAAAAATTCACATCTCTAATTAATTAAGTTTTGTAAATTTATCGCTAAAATTAAAATTATTCAACTGGTAAAATCCAGTATAAGCTAATAAAAAATTATAAAAAATTAAACATTTTTCAGAAGAACACACATGAACACAAGAGCGCAAACAAAAAGCAAACAAACACATCATCCATCCATCCATCCATCTCTCAACATAACTTCATTGCTTCTGAATCTGCATCATTCATTTATATACATTTTTCTCTCCCCTCTCTCTCTCTCTCTCTCTCTCTCTCTATATATATATATATATATATATATATATTTCTCTCTATCTTTCTTTCTCTCTCTCTCTCTCTCTCTCTCTCTCTCTATATATATATATATATATATATATATATATATATATATATATATATATATATATATATATATATATGTATGTTGGGATATATATGTCAGGAATTTATCATTTACAAATGTAAAAATAACAACAACTATAACAATAATAATAACAATAATGACAACAATAACAATAATAATAACAATATCTTATTAATGTTAATATGAACCTCTCAAGGGAATAAAATAGATGATAACAAAAACAAAAATGTATATAACGATAAATGAATGAATGAATGAATAATAAATAAAGGATGAAAGAATAGTTTATGACGTGGTTTTTTTGTATGTGTGTGTGTTTATGTATGTATGTGTGTGTGTGTGCGTGTGTGTGTGTGTGTGTGTGTGTTTGTGTGTGCGTGTATGCGGGTGTATCTAGCAATTTTGTGCTGTGTGTTTTTGTATCATGTTTGTACTACAATATTGAACTGAAATGTGTGTTGATGTAAATAGGAGTTCTTGCT